CATGGTATTTTCTAATTCTTTAAATTTGCTGAGACTTTTTATGGCCTAGTATGTGATCAATCCTAGAGAAGGTTCCATGCACTGCTGAGAAGAATGTGAAGTCTTTAGATGTAGGATTGAAAGTTCTGTAGATATCTGTTAGATCTTTTGGGCATAGTGTGATTAAATCTGCTGTTTCCTTGTTGATCTTCTGTCCATGATCTGTCTATTTCTGAGAGTGGAGTATTGAAGTCCCCCAGTACTATTGTATTGGAATCTAAATCTCCCTTTAAGTCCCTTAACATCTTTTAAATAGACCGGTGCCCTGTAATTAGGTGCATATACATTTATAATAGTTACATCTTGCTGTTGAATTGAACCTTAATCATTATACAGTGTCCCTTTTGTCTCTCTTAACAGTTTTTGTATTAAGTTTATTTTGTCTGATATTAATATGGCTACACCTGCTTTTTTTGGTTTCTGTTGGCATGGAATATCTTTTTCCAGCCTTTCACTTTCAGTCTGCATGCATCTTTGTTAGAGAGATGTGTTTCTTGTAGCAACAAATAGTTGGGTTTGTCTTTGAGCCAATCAGCCAATCGGTGTCTTTTAACTGAATTAAGACCATTAATGTTCAATGTGACTATTGATATGTAGTGACTTTGCCCTGCCATTTTCCCGGAGATATTTTCTAATATATGCTTTGAGCTTCCCATGCTCATTTTACTGGTAGGTTTTCTTCCTTTCCCTTCTTTCATATGATGGCCGTGTTTCTGTGTTTCTGAGTGTAGCACATCTTTAAGTATCTTTTGCAGGGCCGTACAAGTGGCCACAAAGTCTTTCAATTTCTGTTTGCTATGAAAGGTCTTTATTTCACATTCATTCACAAATGAGAGCTTAGCAGGATATAATATTCTGGGCTTGCAATTTTTCTTTCTTAGCACCTGTGCTATGTCTCGCCATTCCCTCATAGCCTGTAGTGTTCTGATGAGAAGTCTGCTGTGAGTCTGATTGGAGATCCTCTGAGAGTAATCTGACGTTTCTCTCTTGCACATTTTAGGATCTTTTCTTATGTTTCACTGTGGTGAGTTTAATTACCACATGTCGTAGTGAGGATCTCTTTTGGTCATGTTTATTGGGGGTTCTATGAGCTTCCTGTACTAGGATGTCTCTGTCCTTCTCCAAACCTGGAAGTTCTCTGCTAGTATCTCACTACAAAGGCCTTCTAATCCTTTCTCTTTCTCCATGCCTTCAGGAACTCCTAGAACTCGAATGTTGGTTTTTTTAATAGTATCCTGTAGATTCCCAACAATATTTTTATTTCTAATTTCCTCTTCTTTTCTTTGGTTTGACTGTATGTTTTCCTGTCCTCTATCTTCTAAGTCCGAATTCTCTCTTCTGCTTCACCCATTCTGTTTTTAAGGCTTTCTAATGTGTTTGTCATTTGATCTATTGAGCTCTTCATTTCATTTTGATTTCTCTTCACTATCACACTTTCCTGCTCTACTAGTTTCTGCGTTTCATTTTGATTCTTCCTTAAAATTTCATTTTCATGAGAGAGATTTTCAATCCTGTCCATTAAGGATTTCTGTAGTTCAAGGATTTGCTTTTGAAAACTCCTAAATGTTCTTATCATAAATTTTTTGAAATCCGTATCTTGCATTTCTTCTATCTCATCATCTTCATGATCTTTGCTTGGGGTGTTTTGTTTATTTGGAGCATCATAGTGTCATCGTTGGTCTTGTTCCCTCGATTTCTGTGTTTGCTTGGCATAGTTAATTCTTCTTTCGTCATGTGCGTTTTTTTTTTTTTTTTTTATTTTATACTATGTCTGTGTAAGTGGACTGCCTGCTGTTGGAGGAGCCTTGGAGGCTTGAGATGGGTGTGGCCTGAGAGCTCTGCTTGGTTCTTCCGGGTTATGGGTGTGCAAACGTGACACCCTCATGTTATGCGTGGTAAATCTCTCTCTATTTATTTATTTATTTATTTATTTATTTATTTATTTATTCAGGGGTAAGTAATACCGCACCGCACAGCTGTGCAGAATTGATGGTATTTAGCTTCCAGTCTCTGGCTTCTACCCAAAGAGTCTGTGCAGGCTCTGTTTCTCCTCTGGACTCCCTGAGTTGCCTAGGCTACTGAATTGTAGTGACTCAGTTCCTTAGCTTTCCCCTGTTGTTTAAATCGAGAGGGGGCCTGCTCTTTGTCTCTTGCAAATTCTTGCAAACTCTTGCAAGCCTTGCAGAGAGAAACCCCCCACCTTTTTTTCTTTCTCTCGGGTAGTGTCCGGTGCACTTTCCCACTCCCCTCTAGATTTGACTGCCGTTTCCCTGCCAATGTCTCAGGTTATGAGCTCACCTCCCCTTCCAGCGCCGATGTGTGGACTCAGAGCCCTGGGCGTCCCAACTCTCCCCGCTGGTGTCTGTGTGACATGCACTCCCCTTTCTGCACTGGCGCGCAGACCCTGCGGCTCCCGCGGCTCGGCTTCCACAGTGGGCGACCTTGTTCTCCCAGTAGGTCCTCCGAGTCACAGCCACTATATCCAGAAGAGTTTCCTCTGCAATTTTTTCTGGTCTTTTTCTGAGGCTACTAACTCCACTTTTATTAAACTAAATTTTCCCGGACTATCGGTGTGCACCCTCACTATTCCCCATCTTGGCTCCACCCCGATTCAATTTTTAAATGTATCTATATCTTTAAGCATATCAAATGTCAAAATGAGATTATTGAGAAAACACATGGTAATAGAGAATTATTAGATTTATTTCAAAAATTCTTATTGAATTTTTATAGGCTCTCAAAACTTGATGTAGCAATCTATTTTTTCTGGGACCACATTTGTTCCTTTGTCCACTCCTGTTAGCATTATTTGGCAAAAGTTGTACATTGAGGTACACGTGAGAGAATTATTACTCAATTTTCCTGGCCAGTTTTAGGTAAGAAATCAGGAAACAACCACAACCACCACAACAAACACCACTTTCTCAAGAGCATTTGCAGATCAGTTCTGCAGACTTCAAACGTTTTCAGGTTTGGAATGTTTAGACTACCGCTCTCATGCTAAATTCTCAGTGGCTTTCTTTCTATTTCTGAATTGCTTTTTACAAACAGAATGCAGCATAAGGAACTGACAGCAAAATACACTGTTCCCCAGATGGTTCAAATAATAACTATGCCAATTGTTTGTATTTATATTGCAAACATCATATTTTCACCTAAGTATCACTTACCTCAAATGTTAACTGAATAGTTTTATAGAATTGTTTTTTAAGATTTATTTTCTTTGAGAGGCAGAGTTATTCTACAAAAAGAAATAGATATCTTCAATACAAGCATAATTTTTATTCCTTCAAGTGATAGAGAAGTATGTTTTGTACCTTCAATTTGAACAGGATCTCCCCAAAATTAAATTAGATATATTGTTTACCAGTGTGATAAAATGTATTCACAAAGAGAAATATGATACAAAAATATAATTTACTTTATTTCTTGAATACTCATATATGTCTTGCTAGACTAAGAATAGAATCAATATATTTTGTCAATCTAATCATTCTGAAACAAAATCAAATAATGAGTAATTTGGAAATGTTTTGAATTATTTTTCTGTTTATTTCTATGGAGGAAGGAGGAATGATGGTAATGTTTCCAAATTCTTCTGGTTAAATGTGGAACAGTTAAAAAATAACATGATATAGCTGTAAGTAGGTCTTAGGCATCCAATGCATGTGCAACCATGCATGACATGAAATGTATTTAATACAATCCTTGACTTTTTTTTTAACAGGCAGAGTGGACAGTGAGAGAGAGAGAGACAGAGAGAAAGGTCTTCCTTTTTCCATTGGTTCACCCCCACAGTAGCCGGGATCCAGGTGCTTCTCCTGGTCTCCTGGGTGCAGGGCCCAAGCACTTGGACCATCCTCCACTGCCTTCCTGGGCCATAGCAGAGAGCTGAACAGGAAGAGGAGCAACCAGGACAGAGCTGGCACCCTGACTGGGACTAGAACCCTGTGTGCTGGCACTGCAGGTGGAGGATTAGCCTATTGAGCCACAGCGCCGGCCTATAGTCGTTGACTTCTGATACCTGTGGTGTCCATTCCAATGAAGATTCTGATTGGCTAGCTCATGGTAACATCAAGGACTCTGGTTGATGTGACTTTAAAACAACTATTGGATTGATTCACATATGTTAAACATAAATTTTAAAATATATGACTACTTTACTTATTAGTTGTGGCAGTTAGTGTTACCTGTTCCCTTTTATCTTTGCTTTGTAAAACACACAAAAACATTCATTTGCCATATTCTTCAAATTAAGAAAATGGTTTACTGTATGATGATGTTTAGATTCTCTTTGATCACCCAAGGATTGATTTTTTCTTGCCATAATAAATCTACAAATGAAAACCTGTGACTCATTAATGATCTTGATCTGAATTAGTACAGAGCAGATGAGTCTGGGGCACTCTTAGATATGAATATTAAAATCTATAGAAATTAAAGAAATTACAATGGGGAGACCAAAATTATTTATAAAGGATCATTTATTAAACATTTTTCACAAAATACAAAGATGGTTGTTCTGCAAGAATACATCACATATTAAAAATAATGTGTTTTTACTGAATTTAATTTGAAGACATTCAGAATTGTTTTGTCTATCCCTTGGGAGCCCATTTGGCTTTGCTCCTTGTCTGACACCATTTCTAAGAAGGAAGAAACATTTTCTTGTTAATTAAGTCATATTCATAACAGCTTTAATTTTATAGAAATAAAATCACAGTGTCTGCCACAACAAAGCTCTTCCACAAAGTAACTGATTTGCCTATGATCCTATTTTTTTTTCAAGCTACAAGATAGGATAAATCAAGGAGCTAGGTAAGTTGTATAATAACGTATTAGCAGCAGTGATAGTAAATGCAACATAACATTTGTTTTGTCTGTGGTACAAGAATATGTCGTATTAGACTACTGTATTTTTCTCTACTTGTACACAAGTAAGTGCATACGGATTCCAGAATGACACATGCATAAAAAGGCAGGAAGCTGGCCTGGCTGGCATTATCAGTGCCTATTTTCATCAGCTAATATGAATGAATTGCTAAAATTAGTGAAGACAGGAAAATGACTTAAGGATAATATATACAGAGTTAAACTACATCCTTTTTAAAATCTACTTGAATGATCTCAGGCACTTTGGCTGTTCAGGATAAAAGGTTTTATGTTTTATTCTTGATAGCAATTTCTCAGTACAAGCAAAAGCAAATACCTGCCCACTGTCATAAACATGAACTCGTACATCTGAGAGGGTAAAGTAAGTTCATCTTCAACGTTTTCACTCTGGAGGCATCTCGTGTAGAAATGTGTCATAATTTGTTCTTAGTACCCGTTTAATTTTTCAGTGCAAGCAAAGGCAAACATACCTGCTCACTGTCATACACACAACCAAACATCTCTGGACTATTCAAAGCAAATTCACCTTCTGATTTTCATCATGGAAACATCTTTGATAAGTGGCACTTCCTTCCTCTATAAATCATGCAAAACAGACCCATGATGCCTGAATTTGATAATATTAAAAATCATGGCCATGGCCATCTCTCTGTGTAAACTCTGTTGGGTAAGGCTTGCCATCACGGTGCTTCTTTCCTGAGGATGGAGCTGGTCCTGTCTGTGTGGATCATAAGTGTGCATGCTCAGAGCTGTGGTCGCTGTTGTGGCTGTCTTCATTGTCCAGAGAGTCCCCTGTTTGCTGGAGCGTGGCCGCACCAATCCCTGACAGCTCTGAAGGGAGCAGGGTTCCTTCTTCACTTCACCAGTTCCTTTTCTCAGGCAGCAGTGCCCAGCTGGCCCAATTTTACCCTCTTCCTCTTCATCCGCCTGTTCTGGAACCACACTTTCACCTTGGACAAAGAAAGGAAACACACGAAGCAAAACAGAACATTAAATTCAAGTGCTTTCTCCTTTTGGTCTGCCTAGGAGAACCAGATTCTCAAAGGTTTACACGAAGACACCATGGAAGAGGGTAAATATAAAAATAATCCCACCCTGAGTTTAATCAGGTTGCATGTTTGTGATAATAATTTATAAACATTCAGAAGATGCACACAAATGATTACCTTTCATATTTAACAACAAAGAATTCATTGTAGTATTACCTCCCAGTTTTTGCTTTGTGGATTTAAAAATTAAAAATCACAATAATAAGAGAAGTAGACAAGGGCTTATCATTCAGGATGTCTCCAAGGTATTTGGTTCTGCTCTTGCATGATAAACCTGTGATGGAACCTATGTGGATACGTAGCCAGGAGCTTCAATAGGTTGAATGTTATGTAATGTTCATCTTAACACACTAATGTGAAAAAAAAATGTTTCCCAAGGTTGTATCAGTTTAGTTTTCTTATTCATTCCAGGGCATAAAGGTTCAAGTTCACCCAAATCTTTGCCTGCATTTGGATTTACCAGGTTCAACTTTTTTTTTACAACACAATGACAATAAATGTTATTTTACTGTGCTTTTATTTTGCCTTTCCTGTTTTCTAATGGAGTCAAGTATCTTTGAAGAGTTTAGGATCCAGAGTTGGTGCCCATGTCCCATGTTGTAGCACCAGGAGTCCTGGCTGCTCTGTGTCCAATTCACTCCCGTTGCTGTACCTGGAAAGTGCTGCCATTTGGGGAGTGAGCCAGTGTATGGAAGGCCTCTCTCTCTCATTTCTCATAGATAAATTAACGTTCTTTTTTTAAAAAATAATGGCCCACTGTAGTGCTTCTATGAAATACCTCCCTGTATCTGGTATGAATTCTTTTTAAAATTAATCTTGCTCTTTATGGACTTTAAAATGTCTGAGTCCTAATTTAATACCTTCAGTTGTATGGAAGCTACTATCTTCTCTGTTTTGTGCCCTCCCCTTTTCTTGGAGTATTTGTTGATGATCAGAAGCTCTTAATGTATTTATATTTACACACTGTTTCTTTAATGGTTAGAGCTATTGAAGGATACTCTCTGCTGAGGCCACAATGTATTCTACATTTCAAAGAGTTTAAGGTTTGCATTTCAAATTGAACCTGTCAACCAGGAAGTATTGATTTTAGTATACAGAGGAAAGCAAATGCTTCCATTTATTCTGTGTGAATAACAAGTTATTCTTTGGGCCAGTGCTGTGGTGCAGTGGGTTAACGCCCTGGCCTGAAGTACCAGCATCCCATATGGTGCCAGTTCGAGACCTGGCTGCTCCACTTCTGATCCAGCTCTCTGCTGTGGCCTGCAAAAGCAGTAGAAGATGCCCAAGTCTTTGGGCCCCTGTACACATGGAGAAGATTGGGAAGAAGCTCCTGGCTCCTGGCTCCTGGATTCGAATCAGTGCAGCTCCAGCCATTGCAGCCAACTGGGAAGTGAACCAGTGGATGGAAGAGCTCTCTCTCTCTCTCTCTCTCTCTGCCTCCCCTCTCTCTGTGTAACTCTTTCAAATAAATAAATAAATATTTAAAAAGAACAAGTTGTTCTAGGTAGCTTTTTACGAAAGTCACCATTTTCTCAGTGATCACTGTTTCAATTCCATCATCAGTAAAGCTTCCATGTAGAAAGTGGCTTCAAAAAGCTCACAGAAAATGGAATTAAATGATAACTTCTTGTGTTCCAAGAGGTTTCTGAGGTTTTTTTTTTCAAGATTTATTTTATTTATTTGAAAGTTATGCTAATGGAGACAGAGAGAGAAACAGAGAAAGAGAAAAATCTTCCATCTGTTGGTTCACTCCCACAGTCAGATGAGCCCACAACCACGTCTGGGTCTCCCATGTGGGTGGCAGGGAGTAAGTACTCAGGGCATTGTCTGCTGCTCTCCCAGGTGCATTAGAAGGGAGTTGAATCTGAAGCAGAGCAGCCAGAACTCAGACTGGTGCTCCACATGGCATGCTGGTGTTACAAACAGAGGCTCAATGCCCTGAACAACAGCACTGGCCCCATCCATGAGCTTTTCAAGGCCCCTCCTATGCACAGCTTTCTGCTCTACTCTGTTCTGTCCCTGGGTCAGTTTTTACCTGTGAGAACATAATATTTTCATTCTTGCTGTAATTTTATACCAGATCTTTGTATCTGATAGGGACAGGTCTGTTTCACCACCAAATATATTTCATTCTTTACACCAAATATATTTTGAATGTTCTGCATTTTTCATATTTGAAATAATCTCAATTTCTGTGACTACACAGTGACAATGGGAATGTGATGAGAAATAACTCAAATTTCCAAAGACATATTTATGTCTGTAACCTTCAAATCACATGATTCATAAAAGTATAAATTCCTTAGACATTTACACAATTAAATACTGAAATTGAGATGATTCTTAACTAGGGATTGTCATGCTTTCACTGCTGGGTTCAATTAACATCATGTCTCATTTATTACCTATCTATACACTAGTCCATTTGATAAAAATAATACAATATAGTAAAAATTTGATTTAAAGTTCAGTGGTGAGGGGTCAGCACTATGGCATAGCATGTAAAGCTGCCACCTGAAGTGCCAATATCCCAAATGGGTGCCAGTTCAAGTCCTGGTCACTCCACTTACAATTCAGCTCTCTGCTATGGCCTGAGAAAGCAGTGGAAGATGGCCCAAGTTGTTGGGCCCTGCACCCATGGGGAGACCCAGAAGAAGATCCAGACTCCTGGCTTCAGATTGGCTCAGCTCTGGCCATTGCTGCCATTTGGGGAGTGAAATAGCTGGATGGAAGACCTCTCTCTCTCTCTCTCTCTCCCTTTTCTCTCATCTCTCCTCTTCTCTCTCTGCCTCTGCCTCTCTGTAACTCTCTGCCTTTCAAATAAAGATTTAAAAATATTTGATGAGAACTGACATATTATTACTGCTTACTACTCATAAGGATCACTGCAGTGCATCATGTTACAGCATATGTGCTACATGTGCTTTATTTCTAATACACTTTCCCCTCATGTTGTGAACATTATTTCTATGTTATAAATGAGACAATTGAGGTAAAGTTTACATGAACATGACACAGATGGAAACTCTAACCCCAGTATTTAATCTAACAGCAGGATTTAAACACCTATGTCTTTATCTGGCTCCAGAATTGGGGTTTGGTTTTTTTATTTGAATTCTATCTCAAACTCCTGTTTTTAGAGCATTCAGGATAAGAAGGTAAAGTACAGGATTGTGCAATGCGTGAGCACCATCCATATGGTGACTCCCATTCACGTAATTCCTCTACTTGCTGTGACTGGGTTGGTAAATGGGGCGCTATTTTCCTGCCCTGTACTTTAGGTAATTACACTACTCAGTCTAATCACCATGTGAGCTTGACAGTGCAGGTTGCATTAGATCTGTTGCACATGAGCTGGGTACTACTCTTGGCTTCACTTCTGAGTTTTTGTGTGAATTTGGGAAAACCACACTTTTCTCTGTCTCAATTTTCATATTTGTGATATTGGAATAATGAGGCTTTCAAGATTCTCCATAGGATATTTTCTCCATTGACGATTCCAGATGGAAACAAAAAACAACATGTAAGTCATCATCATAATCACTGTCACCAAGACTGAAACATTCATGCAAAATAATCTTGACAGGAAACAAAAACCGGGAGGAATAGAGTTATTGAAATCCATGCTGATGTTCTTCTCTAGGAGAGGAGGTACAGTAATTCTGTAATACCAGCATCCATCTGTCATATGCAATTTCACATGAGAAAATTCTAAGAAGAAGGTACGGATTTTAGGAATACGACTTTGTATTTAAAAGAAAGTATGTCCATTGGTTTTCTTTCTCACCATATGACATTTTACCATTTAATTTTTAAAAATTATTTGTTTTTATTCATTTGAAAGGCAGAATGAGAGAGTGAGAATGAAAGAGATTATCTTCCATCTCTTGTTCACTCCCCATAACCACAGGAGCCAGGAGTGGGCCATACCATAGTCAAGAGCCAAGAACTCCACCTGGGTCTCCCACCTGGGTGGTAGGGACCCAAGTAATTCAGCCATCAACTGATGCCTCCCAGGGTGAGCATTAGCAGGAAGTTGTATAGGAAGTGGAGGTGTTATTGGAATCCAGGCACTTTGCACATTTGCATTTAATGTGTATAATATCTGGTCTCCTAGGCTTTACATTAGAGAAGAAAACAAATTATATATGAATCTATAGTGTCTCATAATTTCCTAAGGTGGCCACAGTGAATTAGGTTAATGGGAAGCTGAATCTATATAATGTCATAATCCATATTTATATTGTACCATAAATGTATGACTTTTGTAGAAACAAACAACCATAACACCAAACATCTGGATGAAATCTGAAAATTTCAGTGACATATCCAGATATCTCTACACATCTGGAATTTTTAGATTTAATGTTCCAACTGCTTCCATTTTTGTCTGGGCACTTGAAACACTGTAGACACTGTCTAACAAATATTTATTCACATCATAAATATGTGAAAACATGGAAAGAATCATTGTACAAATACAATTTTCAGATTTAATCATATTCCAGTGACTAAAGTGGCTCTGGCAGTTAATGTAGACAACCCAATGTCAACAGGCCCTGCAGACTTAACCAAGTAGTTCAGCGGCAAAGTGGGGAGTTGAAGTGAAGAATTCAAACCAAGAATGCTTTAAGGTAAGAATGAAAAAGAAAGAAAAGAAAGCTTCTCCACTTCTCCTGCCTGCAAGGATAGACATATGTCTGCCTGCCAGTGGGGTCCCTCAGCTAGTTCCAAGCCACCAGTGAACTCTGCTCTGCAGATCTGCAGCTGTGCGTTGAGGTTGGTGGTGCTTGATGGAAGGGTATAGGGATAGAATACATTGCATGACTAACAATTGAAACCCTATTTATTGGGCTGCCTCTTGCCTTTATCATTGATTTTAGCACAAAGCTGGTGATAGATGAATCATTTTCTATCTCTATAGTTTTCAGTTCTGAAACTTGTTTTTCCCCTTTACAAATCAATCTTGTAAAACAGGCTCTTTGATGTAGTCATACAAGTTTTACTATCCCACTTTTTTTTTGCATCTTTATTTATTTCAAACACACACATATGGAGAGGGCAACAAAGAGGGATCTCTCACCCAGTGGATCATTCTCCAAATGCTAGCTACTGCCAAGGCTGGGACAGGTCGAACCAGGAACAAAGAATTCAGTCAGTATATCCCAAATGTGTGGCAGAGACTCAACAACTTGAGATTTCACCTGCTGCCTCCCAGGATGTGCATTAACCAGGAAACTGGAATCAGGAATGGAGGTAGGACTTGAACCCAGTCACTCTAATTTGAGATTGCAGGTGTCCCAAGCAGAGTCTTAATCTCTACACCAAATGCCTCCCCCCACATGTTTTTAAGAAAACTGAATACTCAACAGCTATTGTGAGCCATGGATAAATAACATGTTGAACAATAAATAACTCTTGTTGTGACAAATAAAATTTGATGTAAGAAATGTTAATCTCTTGATATTATTAAAACCAATCTTATGAAATCTCATTCTTCTTTCCAAAAGTGAACCAAAGTAATAATTCATGTGATGAGCAAAGTTGTTAGAAGTTTCATTCCTTTTAACTTGATCTTTTTGAAATGTCACAGCCGTAATAAATGCTAATAATTTCTTCTTACCTGATGAAGTTCAATGAAAATTACTTATTTCATTAACATTTAATTACAATGGAAACACACTACTTCGAATAACCAAATTTCCATATAAGGTGAAAAATACATACTGCTTTTAGTTATTCAAAGTGAAATATCATTTACTTAGTACATCATATGGGACTTTAGCAAATTGAGTGAAAATATCAAAACTAAGTTACTTGTTTTTTTCCTTTACTTTGCTATAAAATTCCTAGCTGGTATTAACTGAAGATATGAATTTTTTGTATTCAAAGTAATTACTTTATTTCTTTTTCTTTTTTTAACTTTAACATAATAAATATAAATTTCCAAAGTACAGCTTATGGATTACAATGGCTTTTTCCACTCATAACTTCCCTCCCACCCGCATCCCTCCCATCTCCCACTCCCTCTCCCATTCCATTCACATCAAGACTCATTTTCAATTATCTTTATATGCAGAAGATCAATTTAGTATGTATTAAGTTAATATTTCAACAGTTTGCACCCACACAGAAACACAAAGTATAAAGTACTGTTTGAGTACTAGTTATAGCATTAATTCACATTTCTGTCTTTTTCAAACTAACAAGACCAACTAGAATGACAGCTTTTTTTTCTCTTATCATCTGGCCTAATCTCTCAATGCTGTTTAAAAACAATTAGAAACATCACTATCAATATACATTATTATAATTAACAACATCTGCTTTCCCCACCATCTCAGGCATATCTATCAAATGTATTCAGTTAAAACAGTGAATCTCACCAAATTTATGAGTAAAGAACCATAGGACATTATCAACTTATTATGTCTGAATCTAATTGAATTAATACTGATATGTTCTGGTTGTTATCAGCATATATGTGAGCTCTCACTGATCATTCATTTACTAATTTAGAGACTACTCCCTTATATCTAAAATCATTATAAGAATTCACAAAGATTATCATTACTATTGTATGAGTACACATTGATTCCTTTCCCCAAAATAGTCAGTAATTTCAATAACTGGAAGAAAGCAAAAAACTAAAAAGTATATATTATGCATAAAAATTGGGAGTGATAAAATGATTTAAAGTATAACATTTACTTTAAATTGAATGTATCTCTGAGTTTTTCATAAGTTATGGGTATATGGAGATCAAATAGCACAGTCTTTTATAGACAAAGTCTCCAGAAATAGTTCTCTTTGGCCTGAGTTCATTACCTTTTAGAACAACTCTTGTTGAAATTAAAGATGTCAACACAAAACTTTCACTGGCTTTTCAAACTTTCTAGAATTTTCTCATGAAATAAAAAATGCATGCAAGGCTAGTGTGAAAAGAAGTGCAGGAAGTGTCCTCTCACAGCCAAAGCTCCTTCCGTAGCATCACACATAAACCATGACATTTGGCTGTGATCCGCAATAGCCATCAGAATGTAACTGCTGACTTGTTGATTAAGTGCAAATTAATGTTTTAACTGCTTATTGAAGAAATTCAGGAGCCAAGTATGGAAAATTCTTAGACAATGCTGTCTTCGATGATGTCCTTTCATTGTACTAAGTTGATGAATGCTCATGATAGCAAAAAGTACAACAAATTTCAATTGTTTAAAACTCATTTTTATGTATATGTACACATATATATGAACACATATACACAGATATGTAGGTCTGTGTGTGTGCTCAGAAATATTTCTTCAACTTTATAGCTGTGTGTCTATCATCTATCTATCTACCTCTCTATTATCTATGCAGAGAAAGAATAGCACTTTTAAAGAAAAAAGACCATTCTCAAGGGCAGTAGTTAGGATATGACCTTATTTTTCAGAGTTTTTGTCTTTGTCATTTCAACTTTGAATATTATGGTTATGAACCACTTACTTACTTCTCAGTCTTCTACTTCATATAGGCAATATTTTTGAAAATCAGTGTATGGAAGGTTTGAAATATTGGTCACTGTATAGATCTGTCTTTTTTTTTCACAGGCAGAGTGGACAGTGAGAGAGAGACAAAGAGAAAGGTCTTCCTTTTGCCTTTGGTTCACCCTCCAATGGCCACCATGGCCAGCGTACCGTGCTGATCCGAAGGCAGGAGCCAGGTGCTACTCCTGGTCTCCCATGGGGTGCAGGGCCCAAGCACTTGGGCCATCCTCCACTGCCCTCCCAGGCCACAGCAGAGAGCTGGCTTGGAAGAGGGGCAACCGGGACAGAATCTGGCGCCCCGATCGGGACTAGAACCCGGTGTTCTGGCACCGCTAGGTGGAGGATTAGCCTATTAAGCCATGGCGCCAGCCAGATCTGTCTTTAATGTTACTATTTCTTAAATGATTTTTTTACTTACCATAAGCTTTTTGTGTATGTGGAACCTACACAAAAGAAGCAACTGACTTTTACTCCAGGTAAGTGTTAAATACTGATCCAAAGAAAGAAGCACTATTATAAAATCATTGGTAAGAAAGGCCATCTCAGAACAGTTGAACAGACAATATGGTGGCTCACAGAAACAAAATCGATTAAACTAAGTGTTTTCATAGTAATTTACATAAATAAATCTAGAATGGGAAAATTCTGTTAAAAATGTGCAAAAGACAAACCCACTGTTTATGTGGTGTACAAAATTATTTCCTTTTTTATACTCATCCAAAAAAAAGTGGATGGCTATGTTGAAAATACTTGGCATTGAGCCACTGAATGATTTACGAGTAGCAAACAAAACATAATCCTTCTTATTACTGCTAATGGAGTATAATCCAACAAGGTGGGGATTTTCCATTTATCTTGGCAGAGGTATTGAGTTCTCAGTATGTTTATTCCACTCATTTTAGCTGCTTTAAAAATCCACAATATTGCACCTTTGATTAGCACTGTGGAAAAGATTTTGTGAAGTGGCAGGATCTCCCACTACTTCTACATTTGGCAGCCTTCACTCTGTAAAAATGTCCTTTTTACCACTCCCTGTTAAATTCCCATGCAGCTGTTTTCTCTTTCTTCCCCCTGTCAGATACCAGATATCTGTCAGGAGACTTCTCCAAGCTTATCTGGATGAAAAAAAAAAAAAGCCAGAATAAGCTCATCAGACTTGAAAATACCTTGGCACAGGAGGATCTTTAGACAGACTGGCTCTTCAAAATATTCTAAGTGGCCCTGCCAATTGAAGATTATTAGCCGTGGCTCTTGGGGATGTGGGAGGATAGGTCATAAACTGGAGGCTTTGAGTTAGAAGGTGGAGAGTGACTGCAGTGATAACTGCTCCACAACACAGCTTTAGAATTAAAAGACTTGAACCTCATCTTTGCTCTAAGGTTAGCATTTTTAGTGGAGCTGGTTTTCAATACGAGCCTCTTGTTTTCCTCCTGGTTGACCAGGTGGATTATGGAAGAAGACACCATTTAAGAGTCTGCCTTCTTTGAGAAATTTCACAACCACTATTTTTTTTAACTTTTATTTAATGAATATAAATTTCCAAAGTACAGCTTATGGATTACAATGGCTTCCCCCCCATAACGTCCCTCCCACCCGCAACCCTCCCCTTTCCCACTCCCTCTCCTTTCCATTCACATGAGGATACATTTTTGATTCTCTTTATATACAGAAGATCAGTTTAGCATACATTAAGTGAAGATTTCAACAGTTTGCTCCCACACAGAAACATAAAGTGAAAAATAATAGATGATTTATTTAAATGATGATGAAATCAGATCAGACCTATTGTCATGTTTAATCCCAGTGAGAGTCAAGTTGGGAATTGATAATTTCTTTTTTCTTTTTTTCTTTTTTTTTTTCAGAAGATCAGTTTAGTATACATTAAGTAAAGATTTCAACAGTTTGCACCCCCATAGAAACACTGAGTGAAATATACTATTTGAGTACTCGTTATAGCATTAAGTCTCAATGTATAGCACATTAAGGACAGAGATCCTACATGAGGAGTAAGTGCACAGTGACTCCTGTTGTTGACTTTACAAATTGACACTCCTGTTTATGGCATCAGTAATCTCCCTATGCACCAGTCACGAGTTTCCAAGGCTATGGAAGCCCCTTGAGTTCTCCGACTCTTATCTTGTTTAGACAAGGTCATAGCTCAAAGTGGAGGTTCTCTCCTCCCTTCAGAGAAAGGTACCTCCTTCTTTGAAGACCTGTTCTTTCCACTGGGATCTCACTCACAGAGATCTTTCATTTAGGGTTTTTTTTTTTTTTTTCCAGAGTGTCTTGGCTTTCCATGCCTGAAATACTCTCATGGGCTTTTCAGCCAGATCCAAATGCCTTTAGGGCTGATTCTGGGCCAGAGTGCTGTTTAGGACATCCGCCATTCTATGAGTCTGCTGAGTATCTCGCTTCCCATGTTGGATCACTCTCCCCTTTATTTATTCTATCGGTTAGTGTTAGCAGGTACTAGACTTGTTTATGTGCTCCCTTTGACTCTTAGTCCTTTCATTATGATCAATTGTGAACTGAAATTGATCACTTGAACTAGTGAGATGACATTGGTACATGCCACCTTGATGGGCTTAAATTGGAGTCCCCTGGTATGTTTCTAACTCTACCATTTGGGGCAAGTCAGCTTGAGCATGTCCCAAATTGTACATCTTAGGTTTTTTTCTAAAATGAGACCCAAGGATTGCAAGCCTTCAGGATGACATGCATAAGGCTTGTTATGAAATGCATTCAATAAATAAGGTAGAGGTAGCTAAAAATGACATCAGTTATAGAAATGGATGTTTCATAGGTAATCACAATAAATTTACGTATGAAAACATGTCAAAGACTAATTTTGATTTTTAAGTCAGTTGTCATTTAAGAGAAAATTATTTCTCTTAAACAATCCTACCATGGAGCTAGATGAGTTAACACTTATTGTTTTTCCCATTTGCAGGATAGAATTTCTTTGTACTTACATCTTGAAAAGCTTTGGCCAAGTCAAGACAGGCATTTGTTAGATATAGAGATTTAAAGGCAGAGAGAGAGAGAGAGGAGAGAGAGAGAGAAGTAGAGAGAAATAGGGTGATCTTCCATCTGCTGGTTCACTCTCCAAGTGGTCACAACTGCATCAGGCTGGTCCAGACAGGCATTTGTTAGATTTAGATGATCCTATTTAAGTGAAGGAAAACACTGATCAGTATGAGGTTTGATACAATATTCCTTTGTGAGTATGTGTAAGTTCCTGTACTAAATCACAGTATTTCAAAGTGTGCATTGAAGAATGCAAGTGAAAAGAATGCATATATGTAGTTAGATTTTTTAAAGATTTGTTAATTTATTTGAAAGTCAGAGTTATGGAGAAGGCAAGAGAGAGAGAGATCTTGCACCCTTTAGTTAGAGCATTTAATATGTGGAAATCCTGCAAAACAGTATCACTCAAGACCAAGATGAGGATTACATGATAAGCATGCATGGCATTAGTGAAAAATTAAAGTAATTGAATAGCTATACTGTAGTTTGAACATTTGTACCTTCCAAACTCCAAATGTTAGAATCCTGTCTGTGAAAGTGACCACATTAAAAGTGAGGTCTGAGACCAACACACTGGTGCAGTGGGCTAAGCATCTGCCTGCAACACTGTCATCCCATATGAGCTCCAGTTCAAATCCCAGCTGCTCTACTTCCAATTCAGCTCCCTGCTGAAGGGCCTGGGAAAGCAGCAGAAGATGGCCCAAGTTCTTGGGCTCTGCCACCCACCCACACAGGAGACCTAAATGGAGTCCTGGACTCGTGGCTTCAGTCTGGACCAGCCTGAGGCAGTTGTGACCATTTGGAGAGTGAACCAGCAGATGGAAGATCACCCTATTTCTCTCTACTTCTCTCTCTCCTCTCCCTCTCTCTCTCTCTCTCTCTGCCTTTCAAAAAATTATTTTTGAAAAAATAAGGACTTTTGAGAGTGATTAGTTCATGTGGGCAGAGCGCTTGTGATTGGGCTGGGTGCCTTGTAGAACAGGCCCCAGAGAGCTCAGCCAAACCTCTCACCCATGTGAGACAGTTGCTGTCCAGGAAGAAGCAGGCCCTCATCAGACAGGAACTCTGCTGGTGTCTTAACCTTGATCCCAGTCTTCAGCTGTGAGCAACTAGTTCATGCTGTCTGTAAACCATCCAGTCTATGGGATTTTGCTCTGGCAACCCCAATGGACTAGGACAGGCAGCTTCCCAATTTAAGAAGGTAGAATTCTGTATATAACTCTATGTCTATAACTTTAAGAGCCCAATCTTCAGAAAATAAATTGAAAATATTTTACTGGATGAAAGCCCTGGCATTTTGGAGAAACACATCTTTGGGTCACTAATAATAGAAAAATTGATGCTTGAAATCTACAATAATTCTTCTGATAAGTTCAGCACAGTAAAATTCAGCCCAGAGAATAAAAGTAAAGCCTTTAGAATCTTAAGATGCTGTACAGGTGCAGAAGGATAAGAATAAATTTACATTTGATGAAACCAGGAACATATTCGTATATGATCCTGTCATTCTTCTCTTGTGACATTCAATGCTGACCACAGTGTTGTTACTAGTTCAGTTTTTGCCTCTTCTGTGTGTTCAGGAAGTTACTTTTCTAGCTTAATGTAACAATATTTTACATCTAACACCTGGCTCAATGTATATTTGTATTATAAAATAATTAGTTGACATGTATATCAAAGATTTTCCTCCTGTGGTTGATGGTTAGGTTTTTGTACTTTATGCTAAGAACTCTTTCATATGCATTATAATATAGAATTCTAAGGAAAAGAAAGAGCATGCAATTTTAATCTCCATGTTGTGTCTTGAAAAGATTGTTACTTACCTAACAAAGCACAATTCTGAATGGCAAATCTCAGAATTCTAATCAGTGTTTTGCATAACAATTGAATTCTTTCTGAGGAACCCTGAGGACTTACTTTTAATTGGGAATTTACATTCCACCCACATTCATCTCCTTTTCATATTATCTTGCAAAACTGCACCTAAATATTGTGGAATAAATTAATCTGCATAATATCAACTGTTCAGTTCTTTGAAAACACAATTATTACTCAAGTGTTTTGCTGTTTGTTTGTTTTTTCCACCAAGGCCATGCTTAGATTATTCTAGGAATGTCTGGCAATGACATAATCTCCTTCTCCTGTCCACACTGAGTTTGATTGTATGACTTTCTCTGGACAATGAAACTAAATTAGCAAATATGATCCAAGCAAAGACTTGAGAAACCTTCCATGTTGCAGCTTTCCCTCTCAGAGCTCCTGGAAATGCTTCTACAACCACCTGAAGATTGGGATTCCAGCCTATCCTGGTAGAAGATGGAAACACACACAACAGAAATGCATTGTTTTAGTGGAGGCCCAGTCAGCTCATAGTCAACCCATCAGCCAAGTGCAGATTCATGAGGAAGGCAGGTACTGCTGGCAATAAAACTGGCCAAGTAATTCCAGTCCAAATCTGATGCACAAGATTGTGAGTGAATTACAGCTCAGTATCCATTAAGATCCAGCAATGTGTAGAGTGGTTTATTATACAGCATTGGCTTAAGATCATGGCATTGAAAAGGGACTTCAAAGAAGTGAATAAAGTTGTGTGTGCATGTATGTGTACATATGTAGATATATCATATTTACATATCATCATTTTTCAATAGTGTTAAGTCATTTAAGAAAAAAAAGAAAAAATATCCAAATACCTTCAAAACCTCTCAAACTAGGCTTATAGAATTACTTTTCAAAAGGAATTACGCTCATACAAAAGTGAAACCTGTTGAATGACTAGATAGCTGGGGAAAACCAAGATCCCCAGGTTAGTAAACATAGAGTTTCTACTTTGTTCTTCACTGAAGGCTCAGTATTACAGCCATCATTACGAACACTGGAAGCAAACTCCAATTTCCATCTTCCTTCATGTATTATATAAAACACAGTTAGCTTTCCTGGAGTTCACTGTCTCTCTATAATGACAGAAATTTGTGGTTCCCCCTGCCTATTGTCCTGTTCCCAGTTAAAGAAATAATTAAACAAGAGCAAAACACAGGATAGGTTTTGGTCTAGCAGTTATGATGTTGGTTGGTTGCATTCCATGCTGGGTTCAGCTCAGCTCCTGGCTCCAGCTTCCTGCTAACATAGATCCTGGGATGCCACTGTGGTAGCCTCAGTCAACGAGTTCCTTACTACTCACAAGGGAAACCTGGATTGGATTCTTGGCTCCCAGCTTCAGCCCCGAGCCAAGGATCATCATGTGCACTTGGGGTATGAGCAAGCAATAGTTGTATCCCCTCTCTCTCTCACTCTCTGCTCTCAAATAAGTAAATAAATAATAATTTTTTAGAAATTAAAAAAACAATAAAACAAATGCCCCCTCTCTTTCTCTCTGCCTCTCAAATAAGTATATAAATTTTTAAGTAAACAATTTTTTAGAAATGAAAACATAGTGAAACTATTGTCTGATGATATAGATTTTGGAACAGGCTTTCTTGCATGCCATAAGCTGTACACTTATAGATGGAACTTTGTGAAGTTCAAGGGAAGGAAATGTTATGCTCCATAAGTTAGGTACTAGTCATGATTAATAAAACACAAACTGGCAATGTATAAAAACACATGAAAGTGTTCCTGTATGCATTTTCCCCACCCAGAAGTAACCTAACAGGGTTGAGATGTAAAATTAACAGAGGAAAGAAGATGATTTAAGAAATTAGATGAACAGTTTGCTCGCCTAAGATATGCATTCATATGTCTGCACCCTGTTGATATTTCCTTGGTTCCAGTGGGATCCCGGAGGAGGTGTGTACAGTGAAAGAGGAAATGAGACTCCAGCCCTCCAAGTGCCAATAATAACTGCACTGTCCATAAAGATCTTTGCATTTGACTTTCAGGAATGTTTATCTGAAGCTGAACAACTGGTAATCGTAAGTCGGCTAGATTCTCCCAGGGCAAGTCACAGCCCTTACAAAGAGTGTGCTGGGAGCATCATAAGAGGAGACCATTTGTCATCCAAATAAAATTCAAGAAGGGGATCTAGGAAGTAATTAATACAAAATTAATGTAATAGTACTCTTTAGGTCTTACTATTTGAGATCCGCAAATTTTTAATAATTCCAAAGTGTTCTCTGAGTTAGTAGCAGAATTTTGCATTACCAAGACCAGCACAATTTCAAAAATATTTGGAGTAATGGGACAAAAATATTCATGAGTGGTCTACGTGCCCTTGTATTCCATTATTTCCTTTACGTTGCACCATTTGATGATTTCTGGACCTGAAACATTAATGCGGGTCATGGCCATGCAAGCATTCAAGGGCCAGTGCATGAACTCGCAACGACTGCTCACCTTCCATGGTTCCCAATGACATTGTGTGTGGAGATGCTAAAGAGCCACCATGCTGGGAGTGTTTATTTGGAAGCCTGGACTTAGGAGACTCAGTATGGAGAGTGAGCAAATGAGCATTTTTGTATCATGCCATTGAGGCTTGGAAGCTAATGTGTTAGCGCAACATAACATACCCTATTCTGACCAATACAGGAAACTACTCAGGGGTTGTCAACTTTCTAACATGCCAAATAGGAGATTTTGAAAGGATACAAAATTCCTCACCACATTCCATCATTATGTCAAATAAATATTTTCACACACACCTCCTCACCACCAACGAATACAGAAAGAACGTTATTGCAGAACACAGAATTCTTCTTTAAACTCAATAAATGTAGGGTTTTTTCCCCCATAACATCACTCACTGATTTTTGATTTTTTCATTTTGCTGGGTAAAAATACTTAATCATTAAATAGCACACCTTTCTTCCTTTTGATAATTAAGAACAATGATTCCAGATATTTAAAAAATGGTACAAGAGGGTTATTGAACCAAAGCAATGAAAACAATCCCTGGCAATGCCCAGCTTTACCTGTCTTTTGGTGAGATCCAGATTCTCTGCTATCTTGTATCTCCTCAGTCTAGTCACATAGTTGTAATGGGCAAATTCTGCTTCTAGTCCTTGGATTTGCTCTTGGTAAATGTTGTCCTTTCCTTCCTGGGTTTGCTGTTGACTTCAGACTTGTAATTTCCTTCTTGGGATCTGAAAAAAATTAGTACCAACTCATTCATTCAAATATATGTAATCATGTGATTTACTGTATTCATCATGGCTGAGTTACTGCTTTCCCAAGTGCTGTGCTAGTCTTGGGACAAATGGAGAGTAGAAGCAGTAAAATACTCTCACCTCCATCATGCGCAACACATTCCTTGGTTTTCCCATCTGCCTTCAAACAACTGATGACCTAATTGGAGATGTGTCAAATTTTCTCCTTACAAAACATGAACTGTATATAACCACTCATCATATGATATTATAATAAGATGGACAAAATCCTCTCTAGAAAACAATTTTAGATATGAAATTTAGTAAGTTCTTAACACACAGGCTTGAGGTCTAAGTATGAACAGAATGATTCTCCATTTTTTAAGCATTATTTATTTATTTGAAAGGCAGAGCAAGTGATAAAGTGAGAAGGAGAGACAGAGAGAGAGATCCTCCACCCACTGGTTCACTCCCCAAATGACCACAAAGGTCTTAGGCTGGGTCAACCAAAGCCAAGAGCCAGGAACTCCATCTGCATTCTTCTGCTACTTTCCCAATAGAATTAGCAGGGAGCTTGTTGGAAAGCAGTAGAGCCAAGAACTTGGGTCCCTGCCGCCATGTGGGAGACCCAGATGGAGATCGGGCTTCTTAATTCAGCCTGGCTCAGCCCTGGCCATTGTGGCCATTCAAGGATTAAACCTGTGGATGGAAGATCCTTTTTCTAGTTTCTCTGCCTCTCTATATAGCTCTGCCTTTCAAATAAATAAATAAATCTTTGAAATTAAAAATAGAAGAATTAGAAAATACCTCTATTTAATTATGATACTAAGTATTTTTATGATAACTTAAGTATTGCTATGATAACTAAGACACACAAGCAGACTCTTGGTTACCCAAGAAGCCACATTCATCTGATGTTAAGAGCACAACCTCTGCCACTCACCTGCTTATTCAACCCTACTTCTTTCGTTTCCTGACCTTTAACCCAGAATTCATGTGAAGATGGTTAAATTAAGTAAATAATTTAGATAAATGCCCACATATTGTAGGATTCAATAATTAATTGTAAACTCTAACCTTTAAGAGAGGACTGTAGCCTAAGGCCTTAGTATTTGGAAATAATACATTTAATACAATGAAGAATTAGAAAACATTTTAAAAAAATAGGAAAAGTTTGTTCTTAAAATGGAGCTCAGTCTAAAATGTAAGAAGTTTAGAATTCACACAATGGGGCCGGCGCCACGGCTCACTAGGCTAATCCTCCACCTTGCGGGGCCAGCATACCGGGTTCTAGTCCCGATCAGGGTGCCGGATTCTGTCCCAGTTGCCCCTCTTCCAGGCCAGCTCTCTGCTGTGGCCTGGGAGTGCAGTGGAGGATGGCCCAAGTCCTTGGGCCCTGGACCTACATGGGAGACCAGGAGAAGCACCTGGCTCCTGGCTTTGGATCAGTGCGGTGCGCCGGGCGCAGCACGCTGGCCGCGGTGGCCATTGGAGGGTGAACCAACAGCAAAGGAAGACCTTTCTCTCTGTCTCTCACTGTCCACTCTGCCTGTCAAAAAAAAAAAAAAAAGAGCATCTTGGACTCAAACCGGTGCCCATGTGGGATGCTGCTGCTGCACACTGGGACTTTAAGCTGCTGCGCCACAGCTCCAACCCCAGTGCATCAGTATTTTTTTTTTAAAGTTGATAATTGCAGCCAGGTCAAGAGGTGTCGTCATGCTTTTAGCTTTCGTTGGCTGGTAGGAATCTGCTCTAGAACCTCCCCCAGGGAACGCCACCAACACAGGTTCACAGAGAAGATGACTTCTTTTCTCCATCGAGGTCACTGCCACACACAAGGCCTTGCTGTGCTGTCCTTCTACCCGGGGTCAGTCCTCTCGAGGGTGTAGTCTGCTCTTTAAGCTCTCAGGCTCCTGAAGGACTTCCCACTTGAGACAGGGCAGTAGTCACAGATCCTGGGACGTGCAAATCCATGTCGGCTGGTTTCCCAGAGCCCACCTCAGCCCACCTGTGCTGCAGGGCAGCCCCGCATCAGCTTCGCAGCTGAGCTCACGAGGCTTCGCCTTCTCGTTGTTTCTGTGTCCTCTGGATTACCCTTTCCAGGCTTTTTTTTTTTTCTATATATACAGAAGATCAGTTTAGTATACATTAAGATTTCAACAGTTTGCACCCACATAGAAATACAAAGTGAAAAATACTGTTTGAGTACTCGTTATAGCATTAAGTCTCTATGTACAGCACATTAAGGACAGAGATCCTACATGAGGAGTAAGTGCACAGTGACTCCTGTTGTTGACTTTACAAATTGACACTCCTGTCTATGGCATCAGTAATCTCCCTAGGCTCCAGTCATGAGTTTCCAAGGCTATGGAAGCCTTTTGAGTTCACCGACTCTTATTTTATTTAGACAAGGTCATAGTCAAAGTGGAAGTTCTCTCCTCCCTTCAGAGAAAGGTACCTCCTTCTTTGAAGACCTGTTCTTTCCACTGGGATCTCACTCACAGAGATCTTTCATTTAGGTCTTTTTTTTTTTTTTACCAGAGTGTCTTGGTGGAAATACATACTTATATTCACTAATTTGAAAGAACATACTTACAATATATATTGTATATCCCCCCCACAAAAAAAATAGCATTACACCAATTAATCAATTTTAGTTATTTTAACTGAAAGTGGGCAGTTTATACCCTGTTCCCACACTGCTTGGAGAACAATCAAATGTAATGGAAGCCAAGCAATTGACACTATTTATAGACATTCTCAGAACCACCTACTTTGTACTGATTGTTTTAAGCACCATAGTAAACTTTTGATTTTTAAGAGTCCCTTTGAAGATGTAGCAGATGTCGGCTTGCTAATCATGCTGGAAAGCATAGTGGGTTCAAAGTTACAAAAATGTTAACACATATAAATTAGTATTAAACTTGGTTATTTTCAATTGTTAATAAAATAAACTATAATGAAGGCCTAAAGTCCATAAATATTTGTTTCTGAACCCCTAAGCTTCTATGATTTGTACGTGTGTGCATTCATGTGTGTTTGTGAAAGGGAAATGCATATAAACGCGTACTGGGAAATGTTACACATTGTACTTTTAGCATCATTACTATGGATACAGATGTGAGATTTATAAATATTTGTGGTGCTTTTCAATATTTCTAGTGATTCAAATGCTGTTAGAATTTAGCATGGTCATTAACACTACATGTACAGTTCGGTGTTAGATTCAGGCGTTCAGACTTTACCATAGTTGTATGCATCATGTTCACTCTCCACTATAACTAGACAGTGATTATAAACTTTATGACCAAATGCACATGATCTCCCGATGCATGATCTGCATTTTACTTAACACAATTTCAATTTTCCAGAGTTCAGAAATCAACTTTATTGTAGGTTTTAGAAATGTTAGAGGGAGCAGGGTCAGGCCCTGGAGGGTATGGAGGGAAGTGGGGTCCCGCACTGGAGAGAGGCTAGGGGAGCAGGGTCGGGCCCTGGAGGGCGAGAATGGGAGAAGGGCCCAGGCCCTGGAGGGCGAGTGTGGGAGTGGGGCCGGATCCTGGAGGGCGAGGAGGGAAGTGGGGTCCCGCACTGGAAGGCAACAAGGGGAGCAGGGTCCAGCCTGAGAGGGTGAGGAGGGGAGCTGGGCCCAGGCCCTGGAGGGCAAGGAAGCCAGAGGGTCAGGCCCTGAGGGCAGGGAAGGGAGGGGAGACTGGTCCAGGATGGTGAGGAGGGGAGCAGGGCCTGGCCCTGGATGGCGAGGAGGGCACCGGGGCCTGGCCCTGGAGGGCATGGAAGGGAGCTGGGCCCAGGCCATGGAGGGCGAGGAGGGGATCAGGGTCAATCCCTGGAGGGCGAGGAAGGGAGCAGGGTAGGCCCTGGAAGGTGGCAGGGGGAGCAGGGCCTGCCCTTGGAGGGTAGTGAGAAGTGGGGGGCCTGGACCTGGAGGTCGAGGAGGGGAGCGGGGTCAAGCCCTGGAGGGCAACAGGAACAGGGCCAGACCCTGGAAGGTAGTGAGGAGATCAGGGCCCTGGCCATGGAGGGCATGGAGGTGAGCAGGGCCAGGCCTTGGAGGGTGAGGAGGGGAGTGGGGTCAGGCCCTGGTTGGTGGCAAGGGGATCCAGGCAAGGAAATGGAAGGCAGTGAGTGGAGCAGTGTAAGGCCCTGGAGGGCATGGAGGAAAGCAGGGTCAGGCCCAGTAGGGCAGCGAGCGGAGCGGGGTAAGGCCATGTAGGGCGAGGAGGTGAGCAAAGCCCAGCCCTGGAGGCAAGGAGGGGAGCTGGGCCTGGACCTGGATGGCGAGGAGGGCACTGGGGCCTGGCCCTGGAGGGCATGGAAGGGAGCTGGGCCCAGACCATGGAGGGCAAGGAGGGAATGGGGCCATGCCCCGGAGGGTGAGGAGGGGAGAAGGGCCCAGGCTTTGGAGGCGAGGAGGTGAGCAGGGCCTGTCCCTGGAGGGGAAAGAGGGGAGCAGGGCCCGACCCTGGAGGGTGGCAGGGGGAGCAGGGCCTGGCCCTGGATGACAGCAAGAGGTACAGGGCTTGGACCTGGAAGGCATATAGGGGAGGAGGGTCCATGCCCTGGAAGGCGAGGAGGGGGAGCAGGGCCTGGCACTGGAGGGTGAGGAGGAGAGCAGGGTCTAATCTCAAGAGGGTGAGGAGGGGAATGGGGCCTGGCCCTGGAGGGCAAGGAGTTGAGGAGGGCCCAGCCCTGGAGGGCAAGGAGGGGAGAGGGGTCAGGCCCTAGAGTGTGGCAAGGGGAATGGGGCCAGGTCCTGGAAGGCAGTGAGGGGAGCAGGGTAAGGCCCTGGAGGACGTGGAGTGGAGCGGGGTCAGGCTCTGTAGGGCAGCGAGTGGAGCGGGGCAGGGCCATGGAGGGCAAGGAGGGGAGCGGGGCCAGGCTCTGGAGGGTGAGGAGGGGAGCAGGGCCTGGCCCTGGAGGGTGAGGAGGGAATGGGGCACAGGCCCTGATGGACTAAGAGGGAGGCAGGGCCCATG